AGAGATGAATGTTGGAAACTACATGGAAAACCAACCCAAGGGAAGCAGAAACGAGAAGATAGAAAGAGCCACCACACCTCATCTGAAGAAAGAGGTGACGATGGAGACCAGTTGACCAGAGAAGAGCTTCAAATGCTTCGTAAAATACTTGAAAAACAAAACAAGTCAAAATCTGTTCCCAACGTGAACTTGATACAGGTAACTCCATTATAGCCCTTAATGCAATGGTAACTAGTGATGAGACTTGGATTATTGACTCCGGTGCTACCGATCACATGACTGGTAATAAGTCCTTCAAATCCCTCAAATATTGCCATGAGAACCTCAGGGTAAAAGTAGCAACTGGACTATATACAAAAGTTGAGGGTGTTGGCATTGTGGCTCTATCTGACGATCTGGAAATCCATAATGTTTTGTTTGTCCCTGCTCTTACTTGCAATCTTATTTCTGTGAGCAAATTAACTAAAGGGCACGTATGTCGGGTGATCTTTGATGATGTTAAATGTGTTTTTCAGGATTCGACCTCGGGGAGGAAGATTTTGACTGCTAAAGAATGGGATGGACTCTACTACTTTGAAGGAAAGGATATGAAGATAGCAGGAGCAAAGAAAGCTATGGTTAGCTCAAATTCTCAGAATAAAAATGTAATGTTGTGGCATCTAAGATTAGGCCACCCCAGCTTTGATTATATGAAGCATGTGTTTCCAACTTTATTCAATAAAAATTCTTCTCCTTTCCAATGCGAAACGTGCCAAATTGCAAAACAAACTCGCGCCTCCTATCCCAAACATACTTACAAACCTACTGCCCCGTTCACAATGATCCATACCGACATTTGGGGACCTGCCAAAACCAACACCCGAACAGGCACAAGGTGGTTTATCACATTCATAGATGATCACACCCGGGTCACATGGGTTTACCTTATGAAAGAGAAATCCGAAGCCTTACAAATTTTCAAAAACTTTTGCTCGTTTGTGAGAACCCAATTCCAAACTCCCATCAAAGTTTGAGAAGTGACAATGCCAAAGAATACGTGAGTGGAGCCTTTAGGGAATTTCTTGAGCAGGAAGGAATCTATCACCAAACCTCATGTGTCTATACCCCCCAACAAAATGGAATTGCTGAGCGAAAGAATAGACATCTTTTGGAAGTAACTCGAGCTATTATGATGGAAAGAAACGTTCCGAATATGTTTTGGGGAGATGCTGTATTGACCGCAGCTTACCTTATCAATCGCATGGCCTCCAAAATCCTCCATTTCAGTACCCCCATTCAGAAATTCCTCGAGACTTACCCCACCTCACCTATCATCAATTCCATTCCCTAAAAGATCTTTGGGTGTGTTGTCTTTGTTCATAAACATGATGGCGGCAAACTAGGTGCTAGAGCAGAAAAATGTATTTTCCTCGGGTATTCTTCCACCCAAAAAGGGTATAAGTGTTATAGTCCTCCTACCAGAAAACTCATCATCTCCAAAGATACCGTCTTTTACGAGGATGACGCTTACTACCCCAAATTACCCATTCAGGGGGAGCACTATGGAGTAGAATGGCTAATTACACCTGAACCAATAACCACCTCCAACCTACCTCTTAACCCTCTTGAATCTTCCACACCTCAAGAAGAAATCCCTGAACCAGAATCACAAACCCCTAGTCCTACACCTTCCCCAAAACACCAAAACACCACAAACACTCCTCACCCAATGGAAACCAATGCTGAAATTGATGCAGGGGTGACAGAGCACTCAAGTTCTCAATCAGGTAGTAGGGTTCCTTCCATTCCAAGGCAGCAACATGATTCCAATCCGGAGTTGGATCCTGAAGAGCTGGGATGGCCTATTGCACTCAGAAAGGGGGTAAGATCATGTACTCAGCATCCTATTAAAAATTTGTCTCCTATGGCAATTTATCTGCACGAATGCAAACCTTTGTGGTGAATAGTTCACAGGTGAAGATTCCAGAAACATTTCAACAGGCTATGACAGATCCTAATTGGAAACATGCTGCATACGAGGAGTTAAGAGCCTTGAAGGAAAACAACACGTGGGATATTACCACACTTCCTAAGGGCAAGAAAGCAGTGGGCTGTAGGTGGATCTTTACCCCTAAATTCAATCCTGATGGAAGCATCAACAAGTACAAAGGAAGATTAGTGGCTAAAGGGTACACTCAGACCTATGGGATTGATTATCAAGAAACGTTTGCTCCTGTGGCAAAATTCAACACCATCCAGGTACTCCTATCCCTTGCTGCTAACCTTGACTGGTCTCTACATCAGCTAGACGTGAAGAATGCTTTCCTAAATGGAGATTTGGAGGAGGAAGTATACATGGAAATTCCAGATGGAGTAATAGCTCCACCCAACTCAGTTTGCAAATTGAAGAAATCATTGTATGGCCTGAAACAGTCTCCACGAGCTTGGTTCGACAGGTTTGCCAAAGCAATCAAAAGGTTTGGTTACATTCAAGGACAAGCTGATCACACTCTTTTCGTCAAACACAGTGATGGAAAGGTAACGATCCTAATTGTGTATGTGGATGATATAGTCATAACTGGCAATGATGAGGTTTCTATCTCCCATCTCAAGAAAGCCCTGGCTAGGGAATTCCAAGTGAAGGACCCAGGACAAATGAAGTACTTTCTTGGAATGGAAGTTGCTAGATCCAAAAAGGGTATAAGTGTGTCTCAACGAAAGTACACACTTGACTTACTCCACGAAACAGGAATACTTGGGGCTAAGCCCAGTGAGACTCCTATGGAAGAGTCATACAATCTGGAAGTGAAACCAAACGGGACACCAGTTAACTCAGAAAGGTACAGAAGACTTGTGGGTAAACTGATCTACTTGACTCATACAAGGCCTGACATTAGCTATGCAGTTGAAGTGGTAAGCCAATTTATGCATCAACCCCAGGAAGAACACATGGAAGCAGTATACAGAATCCTCACCTACCTCAAACTCAATCCTGGAAGAGGAATATTCTTTCGAAAGGGGAATACAAGGAACATAGAGGTCTACACTGATGCAGATCACGGGAGAGCTGTGGATAACAGGAGATCAGTCACAGGATACTGCACTTATGTTTGGGGAAACCTAGTCACTTGGCGAAGCAAGAAACAAACAGTAGTCTCAAGGAGCAGTGCTGAAGCTGAGCTAAGAGCTGTGGCCCTCGGAGTATGTGAAGGAATGTGGGTGATTAGACTCCTGAAGGAATTGAGAATTTCCTATGAAGGACCTATGAATCTCTGGTGTGGTAACCAAGCAAGCATTGAAATGACCAAAAATCCTGTGTATCACGACCGAACAAAACATGTTGACATTGATCGGCACTTCATCAAAGAAAAGGTCGAAGATGGCACCATTAACTTGAACTATGTGCGTTCAACTGATCAGATTGCTGACATCATGACCAAGCCGTTGGCCAGAGTCAAGTTTGAAGGGCTTCGGAGCAAGCTGGGAATGGTTGACATTTACTCTCCAGCTTGAGGGGGAGTGTTAGAAGCCGTGATCCTCTCCCCTATCTTCTCCCTTGATTTACTCTATAAATTACCTAGAATAAGTTCCTGATTTCTTGTGATATTGCATTATTACTGATTGATTGTAATCTCTTTGCATTATTATTATTGATTGTAACCGGATTGCATATTTCATTCGGACTCTATAAATTGTACCGGGATCATATGAAATAAAATATGAGTGAATTTACAAACTCCTCAAACAATAGGACAAAACATAAGTTAGTTGATTCTGAGTTTCCATGGCTAGTGGTGATGGTCCTTGATAGGATCTCTTTGATAAATTGAATCAATGTTGATGTGCTTGGTCCTTTCGAGAAAGATTGGTTTTAGGGAAATGCACAGAGCGAATTGATTGTCACACTTTGTAATTTGGACAAGATCTCAAATTGATGTTCTAGGAGCAATTGTTTCATCACACAAGTTCACTTGTTGCTAATGCCATGGCAATGTACTCCACTTAAGTATTATATCTTGCCATATCTGGCTTTTTTCTTTTCAAGAGGCAATATTTTCTCCTAGAAAAATGCTGTAACCAGCAGCAGATTGTTGATCGGTAGGAGATCCTGCTCAAATGTGTTGGCACATCAACAATTTAGTGGTGCGCATGATCATAGGAGATCCTGCTCAAATGTCTTTGATATATCTAATGCTATGTATCACTTCGTTCCAATGATTGGTGTATTTTGTAGAAATAAGTGCATTCACTGCGATATGGGGATATTTGGTCTAGTGATTCTCAAATAATTTAACTTTCTAGCTAGCATTTATATCTTCTAGGAGGGATCCACCCAAGTCTTCCCCTATCTTGGTAGCAGCTTGAAATGGGGATCTTTTGCAGGGTGAATCTGTTGGCATTTAATATTGTTTTCTTCCCATATGTGTAGTGCATACATTTGATAGATTACCACCCTATGTTTTACTGAGCTTTCTCAATGGCCAAGAAGCAACCTACCTAAATTTTTGCTCTAAAAATTATCAAGTGTTGTATTAGTTGAGAAGTTTCTTCTTGATCATTAATACCATCCATATAGATAACTTATTAGATAGAGATTAGGATTTTGATACATGTAGAACAGGAGAGGAATTGTTGGACAGTTATTTCATGCTTCCCTCTCTGATACATCACAACCCATGTGAGGTTTAAACACTGGCATTTCTCTTTTCAACATATCTGGTTGCTCATAACAAATTGTCTCATCTTGAGTCTTTCCCATCTTTCTCCCATCCACTTCAGCCAAAGGCTTGGATAATTTTGGGTTCATCACTATATTATGTTACCCATGAGACATTATTTCTACTGAGTTATACATTAAATCATGGTACTACACCAGAGTATGCTGCATGATGCTCTCAGTTAAATGCATTATATCTTGGCCATTCATGAACTTGTCACTACTGAATTCTCATTTTGTGCTGATGTACAATGCTTGATGATATTGTTCTGCTACATCTTATTTTGTTTGGTTTCTAATCCAGGGACTGACATCATTCTTTGGCATGGGAAATCTGGGAAGAATTTAGGGCATTTGGATACAAATCAATTGAAAAACACCATGGCAGCTATATCATCTAATGGGCGTTTCATTGCAGCAGCAGCATTTACTGCAGATGTGAAAGTTAGTACTAATGGGTGAATTTAATTAGCAAGATTTGTAATGTAGTTTTTAAAATATAAATTTTAAGATGTGAATCTATAGTCACGTGTATATGTGCTGATAAGTGGTACATACTAGCTAATTGGACTGCTATTGGGCTTAACCATTCTTAAGTGGCCTGCTAACTGGGGACAACAACTCAGACAATAGGGTTCAATAAATGGCAAGTGTAAAACTAAAAATTAGGATTTGACAATCATGGATGTGCCTAGATGGTAATTTGAAATACATGAATTTGGTTTCAGATTTGGGGGGGGGGTCTGGAAACTCCAAGAAGCTTTTTCAAAAAGCGTTTTAAAGCAAATCGAGACAAAGCTCTTTATACATACTTATTTTGTATACTATAAAATCACTTTTAAAACTATGGTTTGGTTTCCACCCAAGCATCCGCTTTTGTTGTGATTTCTTGCTTCTTTTATATACATATATATATATATATATATATATATTTAGAGAGAGGAAGAGTTTAAAATCCTCTCCCCTCTGGTAGGGCACCCACACAGCCACCCCTTACTTGGTAGCATGGGGTATAGAACCCATGACCTCTTCCATGAGTGGAGGCATAGGGTGCAATTGAGCTATAAGCTCTTATTGTGACATCTTAATATTAGGGAAAAAATTTATTCACTGTTATTCACATATTCGATATTTATATATTTGCAAATTTCACTTGTGTGCATATATTGTCTGGCATATAAAGTTTAATCCTGTCACTTTCCATGCTTCATAGGTTGTTACTGAAATTGAGGAGTGTAATATGTCAACCTGGGGTTACTATTTTTATCACCTTTTGTTCATCATCGATGTCATATGCATTGGCACAATTGCTTAAGACTTTGTTAGAAGACTTTAAATGCATGCCCCACATTACCAGCAGATTCATCAAACGAGAAATACCTGCAGTTTTTTACTAATTCTGCTTAATCTTGGGCCTTGATTTATTCCTCTCAAGTTTTTTTATGTGGCAGGTGTGGGAGATTGTGTATGCGAAAGACGGATCTGTCAAAGAAGTTTCGAAAGCTATGCAGCTTAAGGGGCATAAGGTTTATAATTTTTGCTATAATTATTGTTTTGGGTTCTTTTCAAACTGAAACAACATAAACAATATCATCAAGTCTCTTTATTATGTCTCATTAAACCTTCATGTGCTATATAATTGCAATGCTTTATTTTATTTACATATGTTACACTTTAGGTCTTTCAAATCTTAAAGCCAATTTTCAAGAGGTGCCTTGAATTGAATAGAAGATATTGGAACACTGTGGAAATCAGATGTTAAACATATGTTCCTCTGTTCTGTGTATCATTCAATCAGTTCTGGAATACATATAGACTTGGCCTTAAGTCTTGATTACCAGTGAAGCTATAGTGTGACAATCAATCTGCCTTAAAGATTGCATTTAATCATGTATTCTGTGAACGCAGCAAAAGCATTGAGATCTATATTTGCATAGAATTTTATATGCTCCAAATCTTTTTGACAGTCTTTGCATATAATCTAATTCCTTGGGTGTTTCAGCAGGGCTTGCAACCGGATATTTCTGTTTCTTCAAGAAGATCTGGGGCTTATTTTCCTCAGGATACAAAAATGCCTTATTTGTTTTTAAAACTTATATTCCCGAAGTATCTTATATGCTCCAAATCTTAATACCTCAAGTACCCTTGCATGTTTGTTGATAAGCTCATCTCATTACTCAAATCACCTGTAATCATGGTATTATCTGCATATACAGTCGAACTTGCCAATATCCCACCAGAGCATGCTTCACAAATAGGGCATGCTTGACTTTTGTAGGAAGATTGGTGCAACTGAAATAAAGAAAAGAGTTTCTGCAACTAAGGGGAAAACAACGTAGATTGCATAACAATGATTAATACAACTGTAAACAGGATAGAAGATGCTAGAAACTGCATGTTGAGAGAATTATAAAGCTTTTTTCCTAATGCTTTATTTTCTACATTAATTATTTGAACAATATAGTTTGCCAAGTTTGATTTGAATTCTGATCTATATTTGCATGAATGCAATTGAAATTATATGATTGTATTCCTGGGCTACTTGACATTGAATAACTTCATAATTGCTTATATTATCTACTTTCTCTGCGATGTTTGGTTCTTGCAGTTTGAACCCTGATTTGTGATTTATTTATTTTTATTTTTTTGGGTGTTTCTTAGAGTGCAGTAACTTGGTTGTGCTTTGCCCCAAATTCAGAGCAAATAATCACAGCGTCCAAGGATGGGACAATAAGAATATGGAATATCAATGGTATGTAGAACTTACATATTTTGGTTTAGATGGACCAATCTTTTCTCTAGTATTGCTATGTGAATCTTTATGGCACGGATACTTTAAAAAAGTTTATGTGCTCGTATTAGGTACATTGGTTAAGTATCAGATATGATATGCATCCTGTACTTAATCCATTGCCTCCTTTAGATAGCATAATCATTCGCAGCTGCTTATTCTTGCACTTCTGATTTGGCCCAAGGATAACCCAAGTTACCTTTGTTGGTTAATTTCTGCTTCAGACAACCTTTTCTGTGGTGCTTTACACTCCCACTATTGCATGTGGGTGTAGAAATGGGGATAAAGACTCGATATGGCGTAGCTTTTGTCTCTTCAATGCTGTTCTCTCTAGTACCCTTACCTTTAGATGATGGTCCCATGCTTTTTGCAGCCTTCGTGGAGCTTAATTTTAGGATCACCATTTTGAAGTTACACCGCCTTCCACTTCCCATCTCATAGCCTTGGACTTCTTTTCCAACCAACCTCCCACACGATATTTCTCTCTTCCACCTAGGATGTGAAATCCAAGAGGTGTTTTAGATTTGTTAGGATCTGGTGTCCCCTGCTTGTCTAGCTGAGGAAGAAGCATCTGGATAAGGTCTAAGTTATATGCAATGGTAGTTAATGCGGGCTTAAGTTGCTTTAAGGTCAGTTATTTTCAGTTTCATGTCTTATTTTAACTGTTATGAAGTTAGGAAGTAGTTATTTCTAGATCTGGCTTTGTCAGACGATATATCTTTACAGAGTATTATGTGTGAAATGAAGTATTGTCCGAATAATTTTTCTTTCCTCTTATCTAGAATTTCAAATCCTGGTTTTAGATATTCTTTTCGTCTTCTCTCTTTTCTTCACTCAAATCTCTCTATTTCTGTCTTTTATTTTCCTAAACTTTGTCAAGATTCTTTGGGTGTGTTTGTCTCACGCCTAGTTTCATGATTCCCCAGTATACCCCATCCCCTTTGTACTCCCCAGTGGTTTTTGTTGAAAGATGAAGACATAAGCCCAAGCCCGCTTAAGATGGGGCCCAAATTAGTTAGATTATTATTAAGTGTTTTATTAATCATTTTTATGTTTTATTTAGATTTGAATTAATTTGATTAGATGAGATTTAATTTTTATCCTAGTTTATATTTCAAGACATTAGATTTTATCTTTTATTTTTCCTATATGTATTGGACAAATTTTATGGTGGTTTTGGTTTTGGGGAGCTTAACAGTGGAGAACAATCTATTCTCGATTTTTCTCTTGCATACGATCTTAAGATTGTCAACACTTGTTTTAAGAAGCGAGAGGAGCATTTAATCACGTACAAAAGTGGTGTCTCAAAATCACAGATTGATTTCTTTTTGGTTAAGAATCCGGACAGAAGATTGTGTACTAATTGCAAAGTGATTCCAGGAGACGGGGTGAGTGCCCAACATAGAGTACTTATCCTTGATGTATGTTTTAAAAGTACCAGGCAAAAGTACCATCAAGTGGCAAAACCCAGGATTAAGTGGTGGCAGTTAAAAGGAGAGAAGCAGGAGTTATTCAAAAAGACTCTTTTGAAGGAAGGGAATTGGGAGTTGCAGGGAAATGCAAACATGATGTGGGAAGAGATAGCTTCAAGGGTTCGTTTGGTAGCTAAAGCAATTTTGGGAGAATCCAAAGGTCCTGGTCAAAGAGATAAGGAGACTTGGTGGTGGAATAAGAGTGTGCAAGAGAAAGTCAAACAGAAAAAAGATTGTTTTAAGGCTATACACTTGTGCAATAGTGTAGAGAACCAGGAAAAGTATCAGTTGGCTAAAAAAGAGACAAAGAGAGCAGTGAGCGAAGCACGTACTAAAGCTTATGAAGGGTTTTATCAGGAGTTAGGAACAAAGACGGGAGAAAGAAATATTTACAAGATCGCGAAGCAAAGGGAGAGGAAAAAGAGAGATCTGGACCAAGTAAAGTGTATAAAGGATGAAGATGGTAAAGTGTTAGTTACTGATGGTGATATTAAGGACAGATGGGAGGCTTACTTTTACAAGTTGTTTAATAAGGGAAGCAATTATGCGACTCAGGACTTGCAGGACTTGCTAATTAACGAAGATGATCAGAATTTGGCTTTCTACCGCAGGATACGTATCGAAGAGGTTAAGGCGGCTCTCAAGAAAATGGACAATGGAAAAGCTGTTGGGCCTGATGGTATCCCTATTGAAGTTTGGAAATGTTTGGGCGATGAGGGGGAGGCGTGGCTAACCAAGCTTTTTAATGAAATTCTACGCTCTAAAAATATGCCGGATGAGTGGAGGAAAAGCATTTTAGTTCCTATTTACAAGAATAAAGGAGACATTCAAAACTGTGCAAGCTACAGGGGGATAAAACTTATGAGTCATACAATGAAGTTGTGGGAAAAAGTGATGGAATATAGATTGAGGTTAGAGACTTCTATTTCGGAAAACCAATTTGGATTTATGCCAGGGAGATCCACATCGGAAGCAATCTATTTACTAAAGGGGTTAATGGAGAGATATAGAAGTAAAAGAAGAGATTTACATATGGTTTTTATTGACCTGGAAAAGGCTTATGATCGGGTGCCAAGAGAAGTATTGTGGAAGGCTTTGGAAAAGAAAGATGTACGGGTTGCGTATATCAAAGTCATACAAGATATGTATAAGGCGATAACTACCTGTGTAAGGACGCTTGGGGGGGAGACAAAGGATTTCCCTATTAAGATTGGCCTACATCAGGGATCCTCTCTGAGTCCGTACTTGTTCAACATTGCTCTGGATGTTCTAACTAAACCTGTTCAAGAAAGAATCCCTAAGTCCATGCTCTTCGCGGATGATATAGTTCTTATGGCGGAATCAAAAGAAGAGATTAACACTAGTTTGGAGTTATGGAGAAGGATTTGGAGTCGAAAGGTTTCCGTTTGAGCAGGAACAAAACAGAATATATGCATTGTGATTTTGGAGGGAGGCAAGGTAATAGGGATTTGGAGGTGAGGATGGGAGAGCAAATTATTCCTCAAGTATCAAAGTTTAAATACCTAGGATCCATTATACAGGAGGATGGGGAAATTGATGGAGACATTTCTCATAGAATACAAGCTGGCTGGTTAAAGTGGAGGAAAGCTACCGGAGTTATTTGCGATAAGAAGGTACCTGAGAAACTTAAAGGAAAATTTTATCGGACTGCTATAAGACCAGTTATGATGTATGGTAGTGAATGTTGGGCAATAAAGGGAAAACAAGAGCACAAAGTCGGAGTAGCAGAAATGAGGATGTTGAGATGGATGTGTGGTCATACAAGAAAAGATAGGATTCGAAATGAAAAGATCAGGACAAGAGTTGGTGTGGCACCTATCAAGAGAAAATGGTTGAAAATCGCTTAAGATGGTTTGGACATGTGCAGAGAAGGCCTTTGGAGGCCCCGGTGAGGAGGGTGGATCAAACAAGATGGAGTCCCATAAAAAGAGGCAGGGGAAGACCGAGAAGAACGCTGAATGAGGTCATTGAACGAGACCTCCTAATCAACAACATATCTAAGGATTGGGTTGTTGACAGAGCACGATGGCGTCGTGTGATTCATGTAGCCGACCCCACCTAGTGGGATAAGGCTTGTTGTTTGTTTGTTTGTTTGTTTGTATATGTATTGGACAAATTCATCGAATAAACCTTTGAAGCTGAGCCTCAATTACTTACCCGATCATTTCTTTCAATTTTCTTCAATTTTTGATGAGGGTCAACTGGCTATCACTGTGCTCCTTTCCTATTCACTAGCGCCTCCGTCTTTGGCTGTTGATTACATGGTGATTCGATCCTTCTCTGCTCTTCACCATCTTTGTTGTTGCTTCAAGATGCGCGCCACTGCTGTCTCAGCATTGGTAAGCTTTTCTAATGTTTCTTCCTGCTTCCTCTGAACTTCCTCCACCACCCTTTTCAATCAACTCGTTCTGTTGTGGTGTTGCCATCCCCTAGAACAGTATACTCTGGTACCTTAATGATAAAACCTGCAAATGAAGTGTTGAAAGTAATGAAAATACCTCTGGAACTCCTCTGTTAACATTAGCAAAAGTCGAGGATTACAGTAGGTGGTTCACTCTCTGTGCTGAAACTCTTTAACTAAAAAGTCTATTTCTGAAAATGAAGATGAAATTGTGACTAAAAAAGAAAACAAAAACTATGGTTTTCAAGAGATCAGAACCTCTCACAAGCACAACACTGTTCCCCTCCACTCAGTCCCAGCCATCATTCCTTGTGCTCTCTCCACTACTCTGCCAACGTCAGACAGTCTGTCACCCTCCTTGTTTTGACCATTCTGCCCTCCATTGCTTTGTGCTTGTAAACGTGGGCTGATTTCCCTTCTGTCTATTCCTCACCTTAGCCTTTATCTGATAAACTGTATGTAGTAGTGTAGATTGGGTCAGTTGCTTGTTTGGAACTTGAAATTTTGTGGACTCACTTTATGGTTCATGTCTCTGAAAAAGTCTTGCAGCCAGCAATTGTGCCACAAGAACTTCCTCGCTTGTAGAGTCATGTTATTGTGGGTTTAGAGGTGACTAATGGACTGAAGTCCTTGTCCGGTAGAGAGGGTGGCTAGATTCTGAAATTATATATGGGTGAATTCTGGAATCGTCTGAATACAGTTACCTGGATTTCAGGTTGAGTACAATTCAAGCTTGATGGGGAGGGAAATGATGGGCCCAAGGCTTTTGGCCCAAATATGGGAAGATTATTAGGAGAAAGAAAAGGAAATGTGGGCTAGAGGATGAATGAGTTGGATTCTGAGGTGGAATTTGAAAGAGAGTGAGAGAGAGTGGAATTTGAGCTACTCTCTTTGTGGCTATGTGTATACTGTAAATTCTGTTCATGCATGCTTTTCTGTAAATTATGTTTGTGTGGGTGTTGCGTGTGGGTCTATCTTGCTGCCTTTTTTCTTTCTTGAATTTCACTTTGCTAAAACCATGCGTGTAGTTGCCACGGCCAAGTGTTTCATCCATTATTTAAATTGATCTTTTTGCTTATTTTCCATGGCACATTGGATGTTTGGCAAAAGCCAATCATCTGGTTATTAAATGAGCAACTCGTAGTAATTTTGACGTGATTCAATGGCCTTGCTTCCCCCCTAATTCATTGCCTTCTTGGCCATAGCTTCTTGTTATTCGTTTGGTCAAATAGGCTTTTGTTTTTGTCTTTCCTTTTTCTTCCCCCCCCCCCCCCCCGGTGCGGTAGGTTGATTATTAAGTATTAGATTCTTCTCACTTATATTCTTTCTCTTGGATGGAAGTGCGCTATCATCTTGATGAGGATCCAAAGACTTTGAAGGTGTTCCCAATTCCTCTTCATGATTCAACTGGTGCGGTTTTGCCCTACGATCGCCTTAGTATTTCCCCTGACGGGGGTATTTTGGCTGCTACCCATGGCACGACATTGCAATGGTTATCTGTTGAGACTGGAGTGGTTTTGGATACAGCTGAAAAAGCCCATGATAGTAAGACCAAGCATATATTCTGTTGGCAGCACATGAAAACCATGTTCTTGACCTTTTTTTTTTTTTTTTTCCCTCTCTTTTGAATGATATGTTCTTGACCTTCTAGTCATTGATTATTTTCTCCACTCGCAGGTGGCATAACGTGCATTTCATGGGCGCCTAAAACAATTCCCATGGGTAAGGCTCATCTGAGTACCTGACTCTGGTAAAAGTTTGTATTGTATTTCTGATTTTGATGCACAATTCCTGCCAAATTGTTTTGGATCATTGTTTGCTAAAACAATGTGAGAAGAGTAACACAAGTGTGTTCAAACCTTACTATGAATTTTGATTTCAAATGCATGGAAGACATGAGAACACGCCTTGTGTTTAGTTTCTAGGTATAAATCTGGTTAGTGTTATACTTGGGACATCTCTACTCATAATCAGCATGCCTTCAGTATGTTTTCTTTAATGATAAAAGTTTTATCCATGATGTGTATTTTTTAATACTAATAGTTTGGTTTCCTTCTGCAGGAAATGAACAGGTCTTGGTTTTAGCCACATCCAGTTCTGACAAGAAAGTTAAGTTATGGGCATCTCCATCGCTCCATTCTTCCTGAACTATCATTTCAGCACACAGACAAATCTCTAGCTGGAGCTTGTGTGAGTACCACCTCACTATTAATTTGCAAGAAGGATCTTTTGAGAAGTTCTCAGTTTGTGATTACTATCATTTTACAACTACATGAAGCCTGCATACTTATCCCTTAAAGTAGAATGAGAAAAAAGAAAAAAGGAGTTAAATTGATATGGATGTATTTTTGCTCAGAATCAATCGATTCTCGGTGAGTGGGAATCTGTTTAGCACGTCAATGATGCTGGTTTTGGCTGCCAATGTGAATAACTTAATGATGTGGGAATGGTAACTGTGAAAGGAGACGAGACAGGTTGGTTGATAGAATAGGTGCTTACCAAATTTTGTGTCTGCCGAGTTAATATCTATCCTTATTAAGGTTTGAAGCATCATGGGTTATATTTGTCTTGGGGCGGGAAGACGAAGAAAGAAACATCATGCGTCATAATACTGTTTAATCGTTAGATACATTATGTTTGTTGTTTAATCTTACAAATAATCAAAGGTTTGAGGCATTATGGATTATGATACTGATTAATCTTTTGAAATAATTGTATACTTCTACATGGTCTTGTTCTTTGGTGCTGATTTTCCTGCAAAAGCAATTATTCAGGAAAGTGATATTGCATGTTACGCTTTTACTAATTGGTTTTTTGTTAAGAAAAGAATCTAAATTTTGCAGGAGTACACAATGTTTTCAGAGTTTTCCGTCATTCTGCAAAACGCAGGTCTTAGGTTTCGACGTGATTACTGTAAGCCATTAATTTACTGGAACCTGGTGCGTCAATATGTTTGCACACATGCCTGCACGTCGTCAGCATATATTGCATGTATAGTACCGGAGTTTCATTTCTAGCTTAAATAAACTTCTAATGATTGCAATCCGATTAACTGTGACAAGTGTGAATGATATATCGTCGGTGTTAATTTTAGGGTTACGGTTTATCAAGTATTTGAAGTTTTTTTTTCCCCCCTTGCCCAAAGTCTTAAAGTATTTTTATAATATAATTTTGTCCTTAAAGTATTTTTTTTTAAGAGCAATTTTATCTTTAAAATATTTTTCCAAGAGCAATTTTAATCTTTGCTATTAACTCTGTAAAAAGTCCATTAAGTGTGTATTTAATACTCTAAGGTATCTTTTGTGTAGTATTTAACGTCCTAAAGTAATTTTTGTGCCATTTTCTATTAAAGTATTTTTTTTTGAGTTAATTTTTTTTTTAACTTGCTTTTTCATATTTTTAGTATTCATCTTCTATCTTTTTAGTATTTATTTTTAACATTTTTAATAACCATATTTTTATTCTTCTAGTATTCATCTTAAGTATTTGCTAGATTTATTCTCTATTTTCTCAATTGTAATTTGGAATTACATTCAATACTAATATCAAGAAAGATGACTATTGGAAAATTGAAAAGTTTTTACTTCAATTTTACTTGGTGCTGAAAATGATTAAATATTAGAATTGAAAATAGGGAAGATAAGTATAGAAAATATTTAAGATGATTATTGGAAATATTAAAGATAATTACTAAAAATTTAAAAGATGAGTACTAAAATTATGAAAAGTTGTTAAAAAAAAAACTCAGTCATAAAATGCATAAAAAAGAAAAATACTGTGTTGAGCGTTACTTAAAAAAAAAAAAAAACTTCTGATAAAAAAAAAAATAGGGAAAATTAATTTGGAAGTCTTCATAGTTTTCATCAATTTTGAATTAGGTCCTTACACTTTTTTTCTTTTTTATTAAATCCTTTAACTATCTATCGTTAGATCAATTAGTCCCTGCTGTTAAATAACTATTAATGCCGTTAATATTTCTGTCTGGACCTCTGAACATCTCCTCCACTGTTGTGCTTCGACACGAGGCAAGAGGTGTTATGTTGTCTTCACATTCAAAGCCTCAATCTCACACCAACTTTTGTTAAGCTCTCATATACGTATACTCCACTTTTTCTTGCCTCTTCGACAAATTCACTACATTTTCCACCTCCTTTCCTCCTCTCTCTCCATTTTCTTCTTCAACGCTTCATAAAAATGAATCTTCTCACTCCTAACCATATTGTTTATGATTTGGTCTTTGCTTGGTCTATCAATATTCCCTGTCATTCTCGCCATAATCCTCTTCCTTGCCTGCAAAAAGAAAACTACAGCAGAATCCAAAGAAGCACTGCCTGTAAAAATCTGTGCTTGTTCATACCCAACAACATCGACGCCAAAACAGAGGTTTCAACCATTGGAGAATCGTCGACAAGGGCTGACTCGAAACTTTGTATGCAAGGTTACTCAGACAAAGAAGAAATCGTAGCCGTCAAAAGGATTCACCGTTGGCTTGTTCTGAGCTACGTAGGATTCGTGTTCTCCTCTACGGTAAAACAGCTCTAATCAGCACAACACCCCATCATAGTTCCCATCATGGGTTCCTCACAAGAAGCCAGCGAGAGAATCATAGTGAGTGAATTGGGTAAGCCTGTAATTGTATCTGCATCAAAGCCAAGTGGGTTCCACTTTTGCATAAGACAAAGAGGTTGAGAATTCACAACAGGAGCACAAAGAGGGTTTGGATATTTGCACGAAGTGGTTGCACAGAGCATAATTCATGGTTGTGTCAAGTTGTTGAACATCCTCATCGGCATAAACTTCTGTGCCAGAATTTCAGATTAGGGACTCAACTTTTCGGTGCCGAAAGAGAAGAGAGAGATAGTGTGGTGGTGTGAACGGAAGAGGGTGGAGGTGTTGTCAACTGGGCAAGAGATGGTTGGAGGAAACGGGTTAGGCTAGATGGTGAAGGAGATGTCTCGGACGTCCTAACGGAAATCTTAATCGTGTTAATAGTGATTTAACGGTAAGGATTAACTAATGTAACAGTAAAAAATTAAAGGACTTAATAAAAAGGAAAAAAAGTATAAGGACCTAATTCAAAATTGATAAAAACTATAAGGATCTTCAAATTAATTTTTCCAAAAAAATATTGGATAAACTGTCACTTAATGGATTTTTTAGAGAGTCAACAATGAGGTTAAAATTGCTTCTAAAAAAAATTTTAAAGACAAAATTGCTTTTGAACTTGAATTGCAAAATATTTTAGAATATTAGACGCCTAATGGTAGATGAATTTGAAACCTTAATTTTATTACAAAGGTAACATCCACTTGGAGTGCTCCGCTGCTCGTTGGACCATTTTGCAATCCAAAATAACTCCTACAGGTTGTTCAATGATGAAAGAGGGGGTTCGGCTAGTGAGTTAGAAGATCTGACGACTAGAGAACGTGAACAAAATTTGGCATTCTATTGTGAGTTCTGTCTTGACAAGGTCAGATAAGCTCCGAAGAAAATGAAAAATAGCAAAATTATTGGACTTAGGCAGTGTCCTATTGAAGTTTGAAAGTATCTAGGCAAAGCGGGCATGTAACATGTAGCTTCTCAAGCTGTTTAATGAGATTTTAGGATTCAAGAACATGCCAAATGACCGGAGGCATATTAGTTTCTATTTACAATAATAAAAGGAATATCTAGATTTGTGCAAGCTGCAAAGGGCTTATGAGTCTAACTACGAAGAAGTAGCAACAAAAGGAGATAATAACCTATAACAAACTTCCCAGCCTACCGAAACCTTATTATCCATTACATTCTTGTCCCGCAAAATGCCAAGCATTCTCAGATTACTCCCTCAAACACTGACCGGATAGTTCAAAGGGTGAGCAATAACTTGCTGATTTACAATGAACAATAAAGCCTTGCGAAGATGATGTAAAACAAAAGACCTTTTGTCCCAGTTCCTTAAAAAGTGATAAAATCTCTAACCACTTCTCCTTGAAAGAACAACGAGATTTGTAGCCAAGATCTACCAGACCGATGACAATGAGCAATTTTAGACGAGTAAATGCCCCAACCCCTGATCATGCAGTAACAAGGGTAATGAAGACATGGTAAAGTAACAGGCCGAGTAATGAAGGCATGACTTAAGTTGATAGAGTATAACCTGGAGTTAAGGCTTGGTAGATGAACTCTATGAAGAGTTAAATTGAGGTTAGAAGTATCTAACTCAAGTTACATAGAACATACTCCTCTAGTTTTAAATATAAGATCCCTTTTGTAGTGTAAATTACACTACAAAAGGTGTCTTATATTTAAGGTTAGAGGAATATATAAAGATAAGCTCTGTAACTTGAGTTGACTTTGGATTAACTTGGCGTTTAAGTACTTTGCAACTGAACCAAAGTCAAATGACTCGAGTCGAAATGATATTACTTTTAGTTGGTGTGAACCCCAAAGTCTGATACCTAAGGTGAAAGGAAAAACCAACAATATAACACAGATTTCGACTTAATATGGAAGAGTTCAATGCAAATAGGCAGACACATGAACTTGACTTGAGATAAACTTGAATGGGGTTAGATGAGTTTTTTGTATTTTCATTATAATATTAACTACATCCTATCCACACCCTAATCTACGGATCTTCAATTTCTCTTCATCACTATATCTTCTTGCTCCTCATTTTCTTTACTATGACCACTAAGAGCACATGCACACGGGGAAATTGAGGCAAAGGACCTCAAGATTCACTGTTTGATTGAGAAGTGATTGATTGCACAAATCAAGGATTAATTCCTCCTACACTCCTTCAAGTTCAACCGACGAAAAGATCACGGCCAGAAATAGAATATATATATATATATATATATTATTTATCTAATAATATTATTACTTATAACTACAATAATCGAACATTCTCTACATGCATGAAAAGGCATGACAACAAAGATTCACAATACAATATGCATCATAATTCATACTATTGACCAGATCAAGCCTTGTTATATGAAACATGCCTTCTCAACAATCAATGATTCATGTAATTTGCAGATAACAGCTACTGGTTTTTGTGGTTTTGTTGATTCATAGATGCCTCCTTTTGCAGTTTCGTCTTGTATTGGTACCCCTGCATGACACATTTATATATATATATATATATATATATATAAAAGCAATTTTTTGAAGTAGCGCAGTTAGAGAGAGAAAGAGAAGCGTCTAGATGCCTTTATAAATTGCCTACGAAAGAAATCCTCGGCAATGAAATTGGAAGTTGTGAAGTACTACCTCCGATCCTAATTATAAGAGCTAGTTGACTAATTTGAAGAGATCAAGGGAATAAGTTAAGTTAGTTATTTGTAATAAATATGTGTTGTTTTTTCTAAAATATCCTTACTAATCAAATATATTAGCTAAAACTACCATTATTAGAAGGATCACTTTAGGAAAAAAAATATATAAATATGAGAGACAAAGTGAATGGGGGTATTATATTTAGGACTAAAATAAAAGTCAAACGAAGTCTTATATTAAGGATCAGAGATAATATGTGATACCAACTAAATAATTTTACTTGGCAAACGAGATAAGTGAGTTTTATCATACTCCCTCTATCCCTCTATTTTTAAGTATAAGAGCTATATTTAGAATTGAGGGAGCAAATACTGTGAATTTAGAAAACATGTGAAACTTTTCGTGCCTAAGTACGAGGGTGTGTGTAATAGTTAGCATGTGATTTACATGAATTGATTTTT